TGTTGACCACATCCCTGGCCTTATTGAACATAAAGGCCCCGCTTTCCATAATAGCCCTCTTGAATAGGCCTTTGGATAGCGGGGAGAGTATGTGTGCGGACACCGACCAACTCCCGGCGCTCTCACCTAATATTGTAATTTGATTTTTATCTCCACCAAAATTTTCAGCATTTTCTATAAACTATTATCCATAAGATATGATGTCATTAATTGTATATTTATTTAATCACCAAAAATACAACAAACAATCAATTTATACCCATTTGAGAGCCAATAACTGGTCATAAAAGCCGACATTTCCGGGCGCGTCCTCCCAATCCCCGTATAGAAAGCCCAACTGTCCTAATCTATACTGTGTTGAGACATACACCACATCATGTATGGCCAACACATTAGTTATCGGTGGTGCAAATATTGAGCCCATTGTCAACGCCCCTCCGTGTATGTGAAACATAATGGGTTTGAGCTGTGATTTGTTTGTGTTATTATTGCCCGCATTTGGTGTCCATATGTTTAATACCAAACAGTCTTCACTTGTGGTCACATTTGGGAAGAATGGCGACGGGCTTTGAATGCAAGCATTTTTCGGTTTTGTCGCATCGATAATGTCCTAACAATTTATATATTAAACATTAATTAATGATTTTATTTAAAAATTTTATTTATATATTTTACCGGTTTGGGTGTTTTGATGGGTTCAGGTTTGGCGAACCGGAGTCTCCCGACGGGTGGTTCGGCATAAGGTATACCCAAAAACTGGTCAATACTTATGTCAAACACATTTATTGTCTGACCCCTCACTACACCCGATGTTGTCTTCACATCAATACATGCAATGAATTCAACGCAAATATTTAATACAACTAATAATATAAAAAGGGATTTCATTTTTCTCCACAATATAACTATTTATTTAGCAATTATTTTCAATAAGATTAATTAAAATATTATGAGTTGATTAGCGATATATTGTCGCTTCTTTATATACATTTTCTGTTATATACAGTTATATTCTGGTATTATTTAGATTACTATGACTTTGAATTAAAATACACTACAAATAAAACACTTGAGTATATCATTAATGAGTCCACAAGTACACAAAAAAATTAGTACAATATTAGTGTATACCTGTATTGATCAGGGATGATCTGTACAGTACAGCATTTTATCATATTTGCTTTACATTACACATTATAAAAGTTATAAGTTATATCTAAAAAAATAAACAATCATATTTATAATAACACTCTTTTAATTACAATTAAAGGTATAGTATATTTAAATATTTGTTATAGTTTTAACAGATTTACCCCAAAACTTGCCAATGAGCTCTACATGGTATAGACGTATATAATAGTTATCAAATAAGCTATCAAATGTACTTGAGTTAAAGGAAATGTTATTTTAATTTTCATATACCTGTGCTATTTTAATGCACCTAAATACATTACACTAATCAATAACATTGAGGGGACAGTTTGTCCTCAATTATATATATTGTGATAACTAAAATTGTGGTGATTGTTGAATCACTAGTTATTTAGATACTGGCATTTACTCGTTAAAAGCACTTTTATTAACAAAAATACAGAAAACAATAGGATTTGAATAGTTATAGTTTGATTGAGATTACATTTTA